CATGCAAACAAAAAAATGCTTACAGAATGATGCTATTCATGCAAAATTCAATGTCAGGGTGGAAGCAGGATAGTGGTTACCTTTTGGAGCACAGCGAGTAATGGGAATACAAACAGGACTCTTGGGGTGCTGCCAATGTAACTTACCTTTTGGTTGGTTATGTAAATATGTATACTTTGTGAAAATTATTAAGTTTTATACATAYAATGTATCTTTTTTACTTGTATAAAAAGTTTAAATAAAATGGAATGTTAAACCCATGAAAATAACTATGGGTTAAAAAAGAAGATGCTGATTTATGGTGGGGATGGGGGGAGGGGAGCATGGGAGGAACAGACAAACTTTAGAAAGAGCAAAGGGGAAGGAGAGGAAAGAAGGGGACATGGGGGTAGGAAAGATGGTAGAATGAGATGGACATCATTACCCTAGGTACATGTATGAAAACATGGTGTGGCTCTACTTTGTGTACAATATGAAAAACTGTGCTCTATTTATGTAGTATGAATTTAATTCTGCTGTTATATATAATAAATTAGAATAAATAAAATAAAAATAAGCCACAAAAAATTCTCAGTAGTCAAAAACTAAACACACACACACACACACACAAAATGAGCAGCCAACCTACTGAACTTTGTGAAAATAGAATAAAACCATTTCCACATATGCAAAATCTCAAAAAAATTTACCTCCGTTTATCTTTTACAAGAATGCCACTCCCATTCATGGACATCATCACAAAGAAGAAATTGAACAAGATGGCAAAATGAGGTATAGAAAACAGGCATTCCACAGAAAAAACAAGAATAATCCTTTAAGTAACAGTGAAAAGGGATCCAATTATAACAGCTAAGCATAAGCACAAAGTAAAACCAGTCTAGACTAAAGCACATAAAAATATTTCATATTTCTTCAAGATGATGAAAGTAACATAATGCCTGATGTTTCTGACCATACTGAAGGACAGTTTAAGTAACAGGTAAAAAATATGGGTTCAATTACATAGAAAACTAGGGTAGTAAGAAGAAATCTAGGATGACCTAAGTTTCGCCTCTGGAGTACTCATACTATTTCCCCATTATTCAATCAAATACTAACATGGACACTAACGGGAAGAAATTTTACAGATGTAATTAAGTCTGCTATCAACTGACCTTAAGATAAAAAAATTATCCAGGTAAGCCTACTTACTCACATGAGCTTTTTAAGAGAGTTTTCTCTCGCTAGTTGCATAAAGGGCAGTCAGAGATTGAAGACCTCAGAAGATTTGACATGTAAGAATTTCTCCATGTTGAAAGAATGTATGGTCTATAAAAAAATGAAAGAATTCCCCTGCTCACATTCCTCAAATAAGCTGGAACCTTCATACCACAGATCAAGGAACTACATTCTGTCAACAATCTGAGTGAATATGGTAGGATTTTTTTCCATAAAGACTCCCAGGGAAACTTGGACTGGCAGATACCTCAATTTCAACCCATTAGACTCTGATCAAAATTTAGACATGGCATACCAGATTTCTGACTTACAAAACTATGACCTAATAAGTGGATGTTGTTTTAAATCACCAGATTTATGGTAATTTGACACATAGCAACAGAAACTATTATACTAAGCAAAGAAGTAGCTGTTGGAAAGATGGTATGAAAAAAAGAAAATTAATATAGACTTTGTACAGTTAAAAAACTTGACCCATAATCGTGTCCAAGTTAACTTATAATAACTTTATAGAGAGAATGGAGAGATGGAAGTGACACAAAGGGTTTAATAGGATTAAATAACACATGCACATTACACAGATTTTATAAACAAAAAGATCCATCCATAAGAAAAGTAGATTCCTCCACTAAGCAGGAAATAAAGAGGAGCAGAGTACTGTCACTTTTCAACAACAAAAAAAATCTTCAAAACAGGTAGAGGTGTTCACACCTATAATCCAGCTACTCAGGAGGCTGAGGCAGGAGGATAACAAGTTGCAGGCCAGCTTGAGTAATTAAATTAATACCCTGTCTCAAGGGGCTGGAGCTGGGGCTCAGGCTCAGTGGTAGAGTGCTCACCTAGCATGCACGAGGCACTGGGTTCAATCCTCAGCACCACGTAAATGTAAAATAAAGACATAAATAAATGTATTGTGTCCAACTACAACTAAAAAAAATAAATAAATTCCCTGTCTCAAAATAGAAATCAAAAGTGCTGGGATGTAGCTCAGTGGTAAAGAATCCCTCAGTTGGGTGGTGGGTGATAAATCTTAAAAACAACAACAAAAGGGCTAGGGGTGTGGCTCATGATAGTACCCTTGCCTAGTAATATATGAGGCTCTGGGTTCCATCTCCAGTACCACAAAAAGACAAACAAAAAACAACTTTAAAAGCTGACTCCTTAACGTATCCACATAGGTAAACCCTTAAAAGAAATAAAAATCTACCACATTCTCTCATTCCTTGGGAGTTTTACAGATGCTGCTCAATTTGGCAAAAATACCCTTAACATCCTCATCCCTAAATCACCATCTCATTAACATCCACTCCCCTCCCTACTTTTAAAATAATATTTAACACATGCATATTACAACACCACCATTTGGATACCATTTCTGCCAGGAGGTCTTTGCTGATACCGCACTTTATCCTTCAAACAAGATAGATAACCCTACACAGGTTCCCATATCACCACATTATCACTGATAAAAGAGCCCTTTAATGACAAAGTTAATTTTCCTAGATAGTYACCTCACAAAGAGCCTGCCCTATTTACTTCTACATCTAAGTTCCTAGTATCATGCACTATACATTGTAGGCCCTCAAATTTTTTATTATATAAATTAAATAACTCTTTCCACTAAAGCCAACTATTACAGACTAGAAAGTTCATTTTTAGCCAGTTATAGACTTCTGCAGGCAAAGACTACCAAAGTCTGGGTTTCCAGCTTTGTAAAAAATACAGAAGGAAAACACAGAAAAGCTTACACTATCATCTGTTACAAGCCAAAAGATGACCACAGTTTTCAAGAAAGGACACCTACCAATAAACTTAATTGTCCCAAATGATTAAAGTTTCAATTTTAGTATCAATTATTATATGCTTATTTCAAAAGGGCAGGTAATTATTTTACACCCCTGTCCCTATACAGACATACAGGGTAGTTACCATGATTAAAGAACCCAAACATTCCACAAGGTTTCTCAGGCTTACTAAGATTCCCTGAAGTAGTACTGCCTAAGTAGAAACTAAAGGTGGGGTTTTTGTTCTTGTTGTTTGTTTATTTTTAAATCTTCCTCACAAAACTCCCCAAATGAATCTAAAAGGACATTTTGGCAGACATATAATATGAAGAATCTGGAAGGCATTCTTAGTTCTGTTAAAGATGCAGTGTAAACTCATCACTGATCTTCTGTTATGTTTTTTTTTATTTATTCTCTTTTACAAGAGGAATATAATCTTTTTTTAAAAAAAAAATTGTAGTTGTAGATGGACAGAATGCCTTTATTTTATTTGTTTATTTTTATGTGCTGCTGAGGATCAAACCCAGTGCCTCATGCATGCCACTGAGCCAGAGGCTCTGCCCTAAAGAAATATAATCGTTATAGAATAATCATAAGAATTAAAGGGTAGACAGAATGAGACATGTTTTGAAGAGCTTTGGTGGGGGCAAAAGAAGTATTACTGTTTAATGGTATAATTTCTGTTTTATAAGATGAAAAGAATGTGTGCACAACATTATAAGTATTTAATATTACTGAACGTTATACCTAAAATTGGTTAAGATGGCAAATTTTATATTATCTAAATCTTATCAAAATAAAAATAGGGGTAAATGTGCTTTAAAATATTTTGTATCACTATTCATCTACCTAAAACGAATAAAAATTTGTAACTATAAAATTCATCCTTAAATATTCATGAAAAGAATAAGTTCACATCCCCAAATCATTAAGGTGTTGAGAAAGGTTTTTAARAACTAACATAAAAATTTCACAGTAATAATTCTGTTTTTTTGGGGGGGGGTGGGAGAGGAAGGTACTAAGGACGACCACTGAGTCACAGTCAAACCCCCGGCCCTATTTTGTATTTTATTTAGTGACAGGGTCTCACTGAGTGCTTAGGGCCTTGCCATTGCTGAGGCTGGCAATGAACTCACAATCCTCCTGCCTCAGCCTCCCGAGCCACTGGGGTTACAGGTATGCTCTACCATTAGCTGTAATTCTTGATTTAGAGGAAGATCTCCCCAATTGAAAAATTTTCAAACTCAGAAGTGAAGGCAATAAAATCACTTGAGCATCTTCAGACCAAGATATTTTACTTCTTGGCCTTAAGCCTGTTCCTGCCTATATGTTACAACTACAATGTTTTTTCTTTCTTTTCTTTTTTTTTTTTGGTGGTGCTGGAGATTGAACCCAGAGCTTTGCGCATGCAAAGAAAGCACTGTACGTACCAGTTGAGCTATATCCCCAGCCCTACAATTCACTTTAAAATGTGAACGAAAATCCAGGTTGCTCTCTCAGAAGTTTCAGGTTCCTCTCTGTTACATATATTATTAACACTTCAAAATCAAAATGTATAAAATGAAATTTACTGCTCTTCCCTCAAAAGCAATTACCTGTTTTCTTGCCTTCCCAGATAATGAAAGGGAAATTTTTTTAAATTTTAAATCAAAGATAAAGAGAAAAAAAATGTAGAATAAGTTGATGAAGAAGAGCCCTGAACACCAGGAAAACTGCATGCACAGTACAACTGAAATCAAGAGTTCGTCATCACCAAAGAGCACAACGTTTAGTAAAAGAAATTATCATTTAAAAGTACAAGACATCTCTCAAATGTCCTCAAAAAAAAAAAATGTCCCAAGTAAACATAAAAAAGTGTTTTTTTTTTAAGACTGTTATACATAAAAGAAAGAAAAAATGTGAAGCTGTCCACTATAATTAACATAAATCACAGGAAAACAATGAAAAATTTTTGACAAGAACAAAAAATACTTGAGACACTCTGGAGAAGTAACTTACCTGAACAAGATGAATAAGCGTTGTCAAAATAGCACATCTTAACATATTGTGTTCTTCACTTTGCTTCCAAAGAAGAGGCAAATATTGTACCAAACATCCTACATATGGTCGTATCTACCACAACAGAAGAGGAAGAAAGAGAATTATATGAGTGAATAAGGCAATTTTCTTTGGAAACACTGACAAAATACTCCTAAGTCCGAGGCAACAAATATTTAGTATTTACTAAATATATTAAGATAAAGCAGATATTATATGGAGACCCAGAACTCGATACAAATAATTTAAAAAGAATTTTAAAGTATCAAATATACTGAATGAAATATACTTTATGAAAATAAAACATTCTCATAGGTTAATAGAAAATGATGTCATATATGCTTTGTTTTTTAAAAACAGCTTACCTAAGTGCAAATTATACTGTTTCAAAAAAGAACCAGCATTTGTTCATTCATTTAACAATTATCTGATGGCATCTTCCCAGTTTCAGACACTTAGGACAAGGCACTGGAAAGAAAAACTATATACAGAAACTATATAAACCCTTATTGTGAAAAATAATACGTGCAATGGTAAAGGTATAACAAGATATGGTGGGAAAACAAGGGAAGAAAACCATTTTTGAAGGATAAAATTGTTATGCCTACTATGATTAAGTCAATCTGTTTGTAGAGGAGGGAAAAAAATAAAACATAGCACAGCTTGACAGAGTGTTTCTTGAAAAGTAAAACGGATCTACACTAGAGCTAGACAGTGTTCCAGCTCCAGGCTTAGGACCATGGTATCTGAAATCACTGAGAAGGATATCCTTGATTATGAAACAGAAATTTTAGACATTCATAGCTTTAGCACTATCCAAATCTTATAAGATAAAACATTACTCTCAGAAAGGGTTTCTTTATTCTGTGTATGCAACATTGAACTTTAAAAGGGTAGCAAAACAACTATAGGATTTATTCCCCTTCCTAGTGATGGTGGTAACAAAACTTAAATTTATCTGTTCAAATATTTCAGTGAGATATAACTAAACAAATATTAAGAAATGTATTTATTACCTTGCTTTCATGTAGTAAATTCATCACCTACTATGTTATTTTCAAAATTTGAATCATACCATTATACAGTTAATACTGAAAACTTAACTCTTTGTCTAAGTGTTTCCTACTTAAGATCACTTCAATTAACTTAAAGCAGGCAATTATGATATAAACAACACATTTCTCTGACTGCTAGAGATGGTGAGCATTTTTTCATGTACTTGTTGATTGATTGTATGTCCTCCTCTGAGAAGTGTCTGTTCAGGTCCTTGGCCCATTTGTTGATTGGGTTATTTGTTTTCTTACTGTTTAATTTTTTGAGTTC